GTGTTTGCTGGTGGTTGTTCGCCTGCGAGGTTGCGGGCGATGCTATCGACTGAGTCGGTGCGGATGTCAGACATGTTGATGGAGGATGCGGCCATGTCGGGGGAAGAGGGGGTGGAGGACGTGGCCTGAACGGGAGTGGAAGATGCAGCAGCAGCGGTGGCGGCGGCGGCAGCACGTTGGGAGTTCTTGGTTTGGCGTGGTGGCATGTGGAGGGTGAAGGGGGAATCCCTTTTTTTTTTCTTTTTTTTTTTTGACGCAATAAATTCAAAAATAAAGATAATCGCCAAGATTTTTCACAAAAATAAAAATAAATAAATAAATAAATTAAATAAAATAAACGCTGAACAGAAAGAGATAATTAATTTCAAAAAAATCAATTCTGATTTGGATTTAAATTTATTTACAAGAAAACGTGAAATTTCGAAAGAAAATATTTTCAAATTACGGAGAAAAAGAATTAATTAGAATTATTTTTGAATTTTCAAAAGAAATATCGAAAAAGAATTAATAAGTACGTAGACAAATGTTGATTTATTTGTTTACAAAATATATTTTAAATTCAAATTTCAAAAAATAATTAATTTCCGTTAATTAATTAATTTCGGAATTTAAGTTTAAAAAAAATTGGGGGTATATAGAAGATTCCAAAAATATTTCAAAAGTAAAATTCCCTATTTGGATTTTTGAAGAAGGAATAGAATTGAAGATTTTCGAAAATTGGCGAAAATGGAAATTGTAGGGAGTTTAGGATTTTTGGAAAAAGAATTTTGGAAAAGGATTTTTTTTTTTTTTGTCTATTTTGAATTTTCAAGATTTTATTCCAATACGAAACTATTTCGAAGAATGATTGGAAATTGTAGAAAAGAAATAAAATTTCGAAGTTCAAAAATTTAAAAGGAATAACGAATAATAAGGATTTCAAAAAGTAATTTCTGATTAATTCCACGGTGCAAAAAGGTCTTAAGGAAATTTCGGATTTCGAAAGTGATTCGAATTCAAAATTTCGAGAAAGGATTAGCTACAGTTTAAGTTGAAATTCCAAAAATGAAATAGATAATTGAAAGAAAATTTCAAAATATATTTAGTGGAACAAATTTTCGAATTCAAAATTAGAGGAAAGATTTTTGAAAAAAAGGAAATTTGGAAAAGGAAAAGCTATCAATATTCGGAATGTTAAGGGAACAAAGATCGTGAGAAATAGTTCTACTTAGAATGGGAGGTAATCTAACTAATTGACTAATTCGTACGGATTGATTGCCCTCGTGTAGGGGGGTGCAATGCGCAGTGGAGTGTAGGGTGCGCGGTGGGGTGAAGTGTGCAGTGGGAACGCGGGGGGGGTTGATGACTATCGGGG